GGCACTGCTTTGATAACGCGAAATTAATTTTAATTACATGACATACTTAATTTTCATTTTTAATTACTTAATTACATAGTTTAACACCTTGTACTTTAAATCCAACGCAGTCAAAAAGGCTATTGCGTGCCCCTCGTCTGACGCACTAAATGGTAAAATTCATCGTGTGAAATTTGCTTGCCATAAAATTCGCCTTCCTGCGCGCCCACCTTTGCAAGAGAGTCCGCCTTCTCATTACCTGGGAGTGAGCAATATGAGGGGACCCATACAAAGGTAATCAAAGGACCAACAATTCAAATGGCCTCAACTCCACTTTGTAAACAAACCTTGTAAGGCCATTTTCTCGCGAACCTAAACCTTCCTTCGCAAACCTAAAACACAATCGGGTGGAGGAGAATTTCCCCTAGCTGTTTATCTTGTTGGTTTGCGTTGGTGAACTTCGGTTCGCGACAAACTGATCTTACAAGGTTTGTTTACAAAATGGAGTTGAGGCTGTTTCAATTGTTGGTCTTGATATGATATTTCGACCAGCACACTCATCTGCTCCCTTACCTTTGAAAGGAAATAAGATGAGTGCCTGCCTGGTTTCATCGACCGAATAGCCGCAATCGAACTGAGAATATCCGTAAAGATGAAGTAATGGTCTGCGGGCATGTTGGAAATCATCCCCAATGCGAAGTTGATAGCTGCCAGCTCAGCAACATAAACAGAACAAGTTTCCTGAAGTTTGCGGAAGGCGCTAGAGTTTTCCTTGAAGACACCGAAGGCAGTGGACCCATTGAGACGTGACCCGTCTGCAAAATATCTTTGCACACAATTAAGGTTTCAGTAAAAATACGTGGGATAATCATAGTTCGAAGTTCATCTGGAATCCCATGAATCACTTGTTTCATGGACAGAGCATATTCAATTGAAGAACTGCTCATGGTGAAGTGAGCACGGTCTGGCGTATACCAAGGAAAACACATATCCAGAAATATGTAGTGGCGGTAGATTCTCATAAATCGAGCCCAAGAATTTCTTAAAAATTTGCAATTATAAGTGTGTTCGTCACTCCGCATTTGATTAGTATTCCGAGAGAGAAAGGTCCCAGAAACGGTTCTGGAGGGGTGTTACTCCTGCCAGAACCTCGAGACTCATGTTATGCGTTGAGTGCATACAACCGAGAGCAATACGCAGACAACGATATTGAATTCGTTCCAATTTTATTAGGTGACATTTTCTTGCCGAGAGAAAGCAGAAAGAGCCGTACTCTAGAACAGAGAGAATTGTTGTTTTATAAAGCGTTATGAGGTCTCCCGGATGAGCACCTCACCATGCGCCGCAAATTGAACGGAGAAAGTTGATCCTCTGTTGACATTTTTGCTTCAAATACGTAATATTGGTATTCCAAGTGCACTTTTAATCAGACCAGACCCCAAGGTACTTGAAAAACAATGATTGAGTAATGTTTCTGCTCAAAAGATTAAGATGCATTTGGGCTGGGTACCACTTTCGAGTAAACACTACCAGTTCAGTTTTCTGCGGCGAGAATTCGATCCCTAGATTCCTAGCTCAAGAAGACAAGTTATCTAAGGAACTTTGCAATGGTCCTTGCAAGTCCACGACATGTGGAGCTCTTACGGAAACCACACCGTTATCTGCAAGTTGTCTTAGCGTGTATTCCTGTAAAAAAAATCCAATAAAAATACAATGATTTTCATTGTCATTGTAACCATGATATTTACTGTCAAAACATTGAACATTTTTGTCCATTACCAAAAAATCACAACGAAATGCATGGTTCACAACAATGAAAATCATGGTATTTGAGAAATTTACAGTAAAAAGAGGAGTTGTTAAGCATCTTAACAATAAAAAAATGATTTTTCTCGAACAAATTTGATCTCATCATACTTCATTGTTTGAGCATTGTATCGTTAAAAATCGAAATTTATTTTTTCTCCCGTACAATAATTAAACATTAAATTTTAATGTACTTGAAATTCAACAGTAAAATTCATTGTAATTTCATTGTTTTATTATATTTTTTTTTTCGGGTTGTTCTGCCAAACAGTTGTCGACATCTTTGACTTAAAAGTTATAAAGAAGAGGGCTGAGGCATGAACCTTGGGGCAAGCCCATATAGCTAATTCTGGAAGTTTTCAGTTGTCCAAGGGAAAAGCTCATTTGCTTTTCTGACAACATATTGTACAAGAAATTATTTAAAATTCCGGAAAGTCCACATCTGTGCAGATTGTCTGACAGAATTTCAATGGAAACTGAATCAAAAGCCCCCTTAATGTCCAAGAATACTGAAGCCAATTGCTCCTTGTGCGCAAAGGCCATTTGAATATCTGTGGAAAGCAGCGCTAGACAATCGTTTGTTCCTTTGCTCTTGCGGAACCCAAACTGTGTATTTGACAGCAAGTTATTTGCTTCGACCCACTGATCGAGTCTCCGAAGGATAATTTTCTCCAACAATTACCTAATGCACGAAAGCATAGCAATCGTACGGTATGAGCTATGGCCAGACGCTGGTTTGCCAGGTTTTCCAATGGCTATTACTTTGACCTGTCTCCATTCAGGCGGTACAATGTTGTTTTCTTGTAAAGAATTTAATAAGCCTAGCAAGCGTCTTTTAGCGATATCTGGGAGATTTGTCAGAAGATTGAATTTAAGCTTCCCGGTGAGGAGTTGTTTGATGAAAAAAGAGCCGTAGAGAATTCCAGTATTGTGAATGGTCTATCCAGAGATCCACCGCTCGGAGACGCTTCTCGAAGAATATGTTGTGCTGGAACTGAGTCCGGACAGACCTTTTTAGCGAAATCGAATATCCATCGGTTGGAGTATTCTTCCCTCTCATTAGAAGATGAGCGTGGTGTAGCACAAGGTGTTCATTGAGGTTTCTCGTGAGAGTCCCTAGACGAAATTGCGCCAATAACCGCGTTTTTTTTTTTTGCTTTGACTGAGGACTCGCGCCCATAGTTGCCCATAGTGTTGAGTTGAAGTTGAAATGATTTTCAAAGCAAGTGTAACAAGTGTAAGTGTCGCGTCCAAGATTGGTGAGATTAATCGCGAGTAGTTTTCGTATATTTTGATATTAAAATCCAAGAAAAGGTTTACATTTTACATTACATTTACAGGACCATTGCGTGGAGAATTCGTGGCACGTACGACGGTTCAACGGCCACGGTTCGGGGTCATCGTTCACCAAGAGGCACAGTCATTAGCTTGGTGATCTTTGCAGACGACAGTCGCAAGAAAGTTTCTATTCAAGTGATAGTAAAGCGAAGTACGGAGTGGAGTTGAGCAGAGAGAAAGAACAGAGGAAGTTGCCACGTACCGTTTAAAATCCAGAACCTCGCGGTTTTAGCGTAACGTTAAAGGCATTAACGTATTTTTTGAAGTCGACCACGCTAAATGCCGGTAGCGAATCGCAGTTCGTGAACCTGATCCCACAGCTACCGTGTACGCCACTAATCCAGGCAAGTCAACTTACCCTTATGTTTCGTTGAAGCCTCGAGTCCGTCACCATACTCGAGGGGCGTACGGGACAGGTAGAGACGTCTACCCCTGGCCTTTGAAAGTGATGCGGTACCAGTGGAAGGAGAGGAACAACGACGACGGCAGTGGCAGGTGAAGGGGCCCCGAAGACAAAACGAAGAGTAGTGCTAGCAAAAGGTAGAAGTAGGCAGTTAAGAAAGTGGGTAGTAGAACCGTGATAGATGTCCGTTAAGTGTTTGTAAATAAAAGTGTACACAAATAAACATATAGGGTAGAGAACTACTTCGGCCTAATCGCCCATTTTGGGCCTATCGAGCAGAAAACTTCAAATAAATCCATGATTTCAGAGTTAACAAGTCAATTATGCGTTTGGTATGATATTTTAGTTAATAAGCTACCGAACGAAGTCAATGAGAACGCATGGTATGAAGGTTTGCACCAATTATTCCCAAAAACAAAAGAAGCGCTCCGACCGAATCAATTTTTATCTTCATCCGATAGGCCGAAGTGAATTCATTGGCGTTTCAATTGCGTTTCAATGCGTTAGGCCGAGTTTAAAATCCGTAGGCCGAGTTTGGCGTCAAGAAGCAGTGTTGGCTTTTTGACAATATCTCAACGATTAGTTTCTCATTTTCAAATCTCACAGTACGCACGGAAAGGTAAATAAATTTGGAAGCCATCAGTAATAATAACATTCCGTTTGATGCTAAACTGAACTATTAAGATTAAGAAAGACTAAGTGCGGGTTATGCTTAATAGGCCGGATATGGGGTAGTTAACCCTAGTGGGAGTTTTGTCTTGAGTGAACCGTGTTCACCGCACTACATAGGTATCTATTAATAGGTATCTCTTATACACCGTTTGCCAACCATCTTATACAAGTACTGATAGTCTAGTGGCCAAAGTGGTTCGAATCCAGTCTGATGCTTTATTTTATTTTTTTACACATTTTGGTTTAAAAGCTAAAAGCTAAATTCATGAATTTAGTTCATGAGTTTAACTCGGATGATTCATGATTATGGGAATCTTGGGTGCGTTACGCAAACACATCTCATGATATCATGAATATTCTTCATGGTGTATTTTCATAACATGAAAATACGCTGTGTTCATGAAATCATGAGTCATTTTTGTCATTTCGAAGATTGGATTTATTCTCGTGTATGATAAAAGTAAAACGAACCTCACTAGTGTGAAAATTGTATCGCAATCAGTTAACGAAGCTGATGATTTCATCACAATTTTAATTCCGTTCAAAACAGTAATATTGTCAGAACTGGATCAATCGTTTAAACAAATTATTACCGAACATTCATTTAAAAAGTCACAATGGCTTAATTCAACTTACCATGAGTGACTCACCTGTCTACCATCGAGTTATAACCACTTTCGTCCGTCTAACCACGACCTGCCCAAAACACTGCACACAGAGATCTGTTCTTCGATATACTCCATCTATACCGAATCTATCCCGTCTACATCATCGTTCCTCGGTATTCGTAAATGGCAAACATTAGCATATACAGACAGACGGGAGCAGCTGACAGTGAAAGACGTCTTATAGGCTCGCAGCGATGTGTTCGGTTAAGAAGTGCAAAAATCCGTAATACCCGTGCTGAACCGCGTTGAAATTGAGTGATTATCGATTCTAATTAGGTAATTAGTAACACTTTGGACTGTTCTTTTGAAAATACCGTAAGCCGGAATCGACTTTCGTGCAGACGTCCGACGAAACGAATCGGACTTAGCTTTCTTCTATGCTTTGCTTAAAATGCTGAAGAATGTGGTCTGTCTAAGAAAAGTCAGGGTCATAAAGGTTGTCGTCATCGTTTCAAGTATTAGAGTGGCTATAGTGGTTAGTTAGTACATTATCGATGACAACTTTGCTAAATTGTATTGTGTTGATAAGATACACGATATTCGCAGTTGATCACACTTCATCGACAAATAAACAAAAAACCTCTCGTGCGTTGTTTTGGGGTTCAAGTGCTTGAAGAGGAAATCGATAAAAGAGGAAAAGGTCTTTCTCTTCCTTGCCCGCATGGTCGTACAGTGGGAGAAGATGCGCATCGGAATAAAAATATAAACAAACATTGCAACAGCAGTCAAGGTAAAGGTTGAGTTTACGTCAACAAGTGGATACGGCGCCTTTGAATACGACCGGTCGGTGGAGTGCTACAGCGTGATCCAGAAGAATTGCATAATATTTCTGATTGTGGTGATTCTTGCTCGCATTTTCCACTTGATCTCTCATTTGGATCGGTCAGACTTTTCAACCGCGGCGAGTTATAGGCAAACTCAATGATTCATATTATGTCATAGAGCTAATTTTAGAGAACGTGTATTTGCATGATATTCTCACAGCGAAGATAAATTCAAAACTCAATACTCTGTTAGTCAGATGTGCGCTGTGCGCGCCAGACCCGACAAGCGTAAGCTCGAACGTCAATGGGGCAATGTCGGTTTCTACTTTCGATGATCGATGATCTGTTTCAACTGGTTGATTTGTTGCAATGCTAATTGAATCTGCTATAAATGCATGACTTTAGTGAAACAGACTTTATATTAAACAAACACTGAAATTTGATACACCAAAGATTATTTCATTATTTCTAGGTGCATCTTTTTCTAAGATCTAACGTAAGCATAGAAATTATTCTATTATTTTAGAACTTATATTTCTGCTTATGTTTTTCTGCAAGGATAAATCATAGATTCTCCTTTTTCCTGCATCCATTTGGGAAACGAATGATTATCTTACCTATATGCATAAAAGATGTACATAATCTGTAAAGATCATCGCATACACAGATTCCGTAATATTAGAGATTCTCGTAGGAAGCATATACAGAGGATGTTAAAAATCTACAATCACATTTGATGTATATACCATTTGTTTTGCCTTTGTATGCAATACTCTCCAACTGGAATCACCCACTTTGAACTTCACGACATTTTTGCTTGAGCAGTTCTTTTACATATAAAAACTATTGAACACTGCAAGTGAATATTCTCGAAATTTTTCTTCTCTCTTGAAGTTGACCCTATTTTTCACTATTGTTTAGAGATAAAGTCCGGAAAATATTTGTTAGAAATCTGCACGATGTTATTCATATGCCAAATTGTAAATCATAGCTTTGTTTTGCCATATCTGATAGAGCTTGATAAATACTACCCATTTTTGAGTAGTTCAAAGCATTGAAATCAGTGTTCTTATTTATTCCGAAAGAAGGACGCTCGTCGTATCGAGATGCAAAAATTTTCAGACCAATAAAATAGTTTGAGTTCTTTCTTCTCAAATGCTTGGAACGAATTATCGATCATCACTTTCGAAATGGTAATTTGACGAAAATACCACTTCATGTAAACTAACATGCTTACCAAACAGGGAAGTCTATATTGACTCTGCTACACAAAGTTGTATACGGTATCGAAAACTCAACCGCTCAAAAGTAATCCTGCTTGCGTGTTTTCTAGATATTGAGGGTGCTTTAGATAACGTGGGTTTCAATGCAATAATCGAAGCTACGCGCTATCAAGGGATACCTTCTATTAAAGCATGGCCCACTTAGTAATGGAACAACATCATTTGGGTCTATTTCGGATTTGAATTAACGGATTTGAAAACGGTTTTCACTCAAGTGCATACTAACTATTCCTTATACAGGGTGCGTGACGAATTTTTGCAGTAAATTTCAAATAGTAATTCTCATGCTTGTGCATCATGATTTAGATATATTTGGCAGCACTGGATAGCTTATATTGTTAGGTGTAAGATTTAAACAAACAATGTTGAGTAAACGTAAAGATGTCGAAACAAGAGAGCAATCTGTCAACCGTTGTCGCTTTGTTGCGCGCCGGAGTATGCATGAAAGAAATAATTCGGTCGGTAAATGTGTCTGAAAGAACAGTGTATAATATTAAAAAAGGCTTGGGAAAGTGATAAGATGGAGCATCTGCTCATACTGCTAATAAAGCACAGAAATGGCTTACGGAAAATATTTCGTAAATTTGGGAGGAAGAAATTTGGCCCCCAAGCAGTCCCGATATCAATCCGTTGGATTATTTTGTATAGGGCGTCGTCCAACGCGATAGAACCCCTCACACCACACTTAAGTCGCTAAAAGCTAAAATCAAAGCAGTGATGACATCTATGGATCGAAACATTTTAAAACGTGCATACTGAAGTTTCCGGAAGCGTCTAACTACAGTCGTCGAAAGGGAAGGCAATTTTTTTGAATAAATTTACTCACAACTTTAATATGTTGCGAAAGAAAATAAATCGCACAAAATTCATTGCTAGAATAACTAACTGATGTATTTTTTCTCAAATATGCCATTTACTGCAAAAATTCGTCACGCACCCTGTATTTTAAGAAAAAAAAAGAAACGGATTATTCGTCGCGGTTTAGAAGGAACTCTCGAACTTTTCCCTTAATACGGCCCCCTCAAGCGGCGCACAACGTGGCGCGGAAGACACCATCTCATCAAACAAAGCGTTCACGAGATATACGTTTTTCTATTGATGAGTATCATTTTTGCATAAGCCCTTTTCAAGTGTTAATCGTGTACACAACTAGGGAACCAAATATGTAAATGGCATGTTGGACAATAACAAACAACTGTGCAAAGTTTCAACATAATCGTAGAAGGTCGATCAAAAAATTAAAAAAAAAATCGTCGTTTGAAATTTAACTGCTACACTGAAACAAGGACCATAGTTAGGAATACTATTTTGCAGAAAACACTTATTCTCAATATAACCATGCTTATTACCGTTAAATCTACTATTAATTCAGTATAGTTGAGTATGAATGTTAACAAATTTACTATGATTCTGCCAAAACTACTATGCTTGATAGAAAAGGATAGTAATTTTGATAGATATAATAGTAAAATTAAATGAAATTGTTTTCTGCACAAATCTATTGGTGAAGGTATTTATTTTAAACCACCAATATAGTATTTTTACCAATGGATTTTGTTTCAGTGTATGTAGCATACAGTCTTAGGCTCTGAACCATTTGGTGGATTATTTTAACTTTTGGTTAAAATTTGACAGATGGAAAGTTATCGATTAACCCTGCTATCCGAGCATGGTTATTTCTGACAGACAAGAAGTTAATTTTTGACAACCGTGGCTCGAAAACCGGTCGAGCGACAGCACAGGGATTTTCGAACATAGAAAATAACTTTCGAAATGTCACTTTTAACCACGAGTTAAATTTAACTCGGCAAATGGTTCACAGCCTTAACTTGTCAGATGCTTTTTATTTAATTTTTTGTTTATTCATTTATTTAATAAGGCTCAATTGAATCAACTTTACAGAGCCGAGGATTCTTGTTCACTATACAATATTTTTTTTCTTTATTCAGAAGATTTTTAGCCGAAAAACAATACATCTTAAAACTATGGTCAAAAGGTAAAAAACAATAAACACTTTATCTTTGAATGTTCATGAAACTTCAATTTTGTTCGTTTTTCTGGTTCAAATGGCTTGGAAAGAGCATGAAGCAAAAATATTTAGATTTAGAGGTGGCACAAACGAGTTGAAGGTGGATTTATGACCGTGAAGTAATGACTCTTATATTTATCACCCAATTATGGATCTCTTTGCACTATTCTCTTCATAACTAAATTCATGAAATGTTTGTAGAATACAATTTCTGTATAGTTATGTTGCCGTAATAAATGTTATCAATTGATTTCACAGGGTTAACATCACAGACACTCCACTATTTTCACCATGATCAAGTCTCCGGCAACATTGCCGATAATCATCGGGATATCGCTGCTGAGCATAGGTAGTGCTTATATCTACACCGTCTTGAAGAAGAAGAAAGAACAAATCGGCGAACCAAAGGATGAAGGAAGTCTGAACTCCAAGATTGCCAAACTGGTGCGAATGATGAGCAAAGAAGAGATCAAAGTGGTGGAGATAACTCTATCGAATAAGGTGATTCCGTTGGTGGTTGGAAGAAAAGGGTTCACGTTGCGACATATCCAAGAAAGTACAAATACCGAAATACTGTTTCGAGACAAGGATGGCTCCGTTCAAATATGTGAAATTCGAGGAACGGAAGCCGGAATTCGTGCGGCAGAGGATTTGATCATGAAAGAAGCATCACGACAAGTTACGCAAACCGAAGAAATGCTCGTTCCGCAGACTGCGTGTGGAAAGATACTTGGTAAGATTTGATCTGACGGGTATAATTAAAATGAGTTCTTCATTCACGATTGCTATTTATTTCTAGGACGTTGCGGCGATGAACTTCAAGAAATTTGTCGTAAGTCCATGGCAAAGGTATGGATTGACGGAACTAGGACACTTGGCGAAAGTCGTCGCATAATGATCACCGGAACACAGAAACAGATCAACGCTGCAAAATCTCTTATCGAACAGAAGGTGAAGGATGATGCGGACTTCAGGAAAAGTCAGGAACAGCTAGACATCCGCCGTGAGCCACGTATTCGTACTCCACCGAGCAGTGTCACGACTACTCCGATTCCAAGGGAAGTTCTCCCGCCAACCATAGAAAAGCTCAAATCTACTAGTTCTTCCAATCAGTTGGAAGTATTCGTTTCCGCCGTTATATCGCCAAGTCGATTCTACCTGCAACTAGTCGGACCTCAGTCATCGGAGCTGGACATTCTCGTAGATACAATGACCCAGTATTACAATCAACAGGATAGTCGTGATCTACACTGTATACGTAAACCCTACCTGGGTCAAATTGTGGCGGCCGAGTTCAACGCCGATGGCAAATGGTATCGCGCCGAAGTAATTGCCATCTTGCCAAACGAGTTCAAACCAGGAGAAATAGTGCTAGATTTGTTCTTCGTCGACTACGGCGATAATCAGTATATTAAACCATCCGATGTGTACGAGCTGCGTCCGGATCTCCTGGCCCTTCGATTCCAAGCGATCGAATGTTTCCTCGCACATGTTGAACCCAACAACGTGGTCAGCTCAACTACGGGGGAGGAAGAATGGGATCCATCGGCGATTTCCAGATTTGAAGAGCTCACGCATGGTAAGTTAAGAGTTATTTAGAAGATACTTCCATTAGCAAGTCCACGTATTCTCAATTTAACGTTATTTGAGTACTTCCACTTTTTAAAGTTGAGAGCTTCTCAGTGTTGGGAAAATATCAAAATATAATCAAATCTCACCAAATATCAAGATCACGCTTGATTTTCGTAGACAAAATTCAACAAGCAAACAACTGCGGTTGATATTGCAAGCTGTGATATCGCAGCTAGGAATATCAAGCTAACAAAACTCACCAGCTGCAAATCTCACCAAACTGTGGTGAGATTGAGTTTCATGATTTTTACTTTACACCCGAACGCAGCCGAAACTTCCATAACGGCTGGCAGCGGTCGCCGAGGCGGTCGCTTCGTGACTAGGATTGGGCGATCTTAAATCGATCTTTGAGAAATCGATCTATTTGATCTGGATTTATGATTTTTAGAATCGATTCTTTATTTATTAAAATATCGTAAAAATCGATCTTTTCGTTCGATCTTTGCGATCTTCAAAGAAGCAAACGAATGTATTTTTTGTGCATCGAAAAACTGATTTCCATTCACCCCAAACCGAAATTTAATGAACATACCTTCAAATTTATCATCAGCATAGTCGCTCCTAATCGAGCTCCTAATGTTGTTTAAAAAAGGGCTGAAAATATAAATTTGATATGTTGCCTCTTTCATTATTCCGCATTATGACAGTTAGGTTAAAACAGAGTTATTTTCATTTATTTCCCGTAAAAAGATATTTTATGGGATAATAGAATCATAATATATTATGATTATGATGATATTTTGTATTTGTTAAAAGCTAGAAGAATTTGTAAAGCTTGTGTTTCACTCATAAATCTTGACAATTTCACTCATTCTTGGTTTTTCACGAACAGCTATCCGAGAATCGCTGATTGTTACTTTTTGAAAGCAAAATTGTCAGGCTTTATGTGAGCAACACATTTCTTATAATCTCTTATTGTAACCTACTAATACAAAATTCATTTAAAGACTTCTAAATCAATTCTTCTGATAAATAAACAAATCTCTCGAAAAACACGAGTAAATAAAAATTGAAACATGTTACTTTTGATATTTAATTTCAATTTTCAAAATATACCGTAATGACTCGAAATCCAGATACTTAGCCCATAAATCTGAACACTTTTAACACATCACTGCCTACTATGCTCAAAAAAGAACGTAAACATGTTTTAGTATCGATCTGAATCACACATATTAGTTTTTTTGCAAAGTAGACGTAACATTTAATTATAATTAAAATGTCCGGGTTTATGCCTTGCTCAGACTGGAGAGTTATAATATGTTATAACGGTTGTCAAATAATTGCAACACAGAAACCACCATATAGATAGCGCTATAACATTTTATAACTCTGCAGTCTGAACGTAATATTACCGACCGTCCAGTATTCAGTGCATTACGGTAATTCAGCATTATGAAGACAAGATCAATCCTGCAAAGATCGATTCGTTTGTATCGATTAAATCGATGGATCGATTCTAGTGCCTTCTCTTTCTAAGAAAACGATGTGCAACGGAATCATTTTTGCGTCGATTCAACTCTCAGCTTCAACTTTACACGTTGTGAATAGTTTCGCAATATCAAAGGAGCTGGTAAAATCAAAATCAAGTATGATATTTTGCTCCAATATCATTGAGAGCGTATGAGAACGGAAAATTATCAAATTTCTAATGATTATGCCATCCCTGGACTTCCTAAGCCACACCCTATTATCCCTTGAGAGTTTCCTTAGCTTATTGTATAGAAGTTAGACCCTATCAATATCCTCTTGTTATAGCTTCCTTCCTTTTCTTTACTTTTCAGCGGCTCAGTGGAAGAAACTACTCTCCCGCATTGCAACATATAAGAAAAAAGGTCACCGTGACAGTCGCGAAAATCGCGAAGGATCACCTATCCCAGGTGTTGAACTGTACGATGCTACAGCAGATGGAGGTGATCTCAACATTGCACTCGAACTTGTAAACGAGGGTTACGCAAAGGTCATGCCCAACTTTGGTGACCTAAGTCGAAGTCATGTGCTGCGCCTGGATGGAGGATCGCCGGCATCCAGCTCCGAACGACTAAATGACCTTTCTTCAGCATCGACCACTACTGATACAATATCGTCCATTGTAACAACGATAAACACAAGTAGAAAGGCACTGCAAGAAAGTGTCAGCAAGGAAGCTACTTCAACTACATCGCCTGGGAAAGCAACATCAAAGATTGGCACCGCGGATGCTGCACATAGCGAAATGAACCAACAACGAGATACAACTAAGAATTTTTCCGGTGTTAAAACGACCTCCAATGGTAATCCCAAGACGAGTGAAACATTTTTGAAAGCCGAAAAGACGAATTCATCATTACGAAACGAAAGTTCAAATGACGTAACCAATAATAGCTATAGTAATGGTAAACCGGATGGAGGCGGTTTACCAACCCGTGATTGGAATACGCTCATAGCAGAAGGGCAACAAAACAATGGTCTGATACATTAGCTTTAGTAAAAGATACAGTTTTATCCAAGGTTGCTACCATTCGTTTGCTTAAAAAAATGAAATTATGAAATCATTAGATGTTATGATAATATTATGAACTTGAACTCAATTTCGCATTCAGAGAGTCCTGCGATCACGTCTTCATGAAAGCGAAATTGTCAGTTTTTATTTGTCAAACGCATACTTTACAACCTCGTCTTGCAACTTACTAGTGCAAAGTATCATCATAACATCTAATGATTTCATAATTCCGAAAAACATTGTTTATAGCAAATCAATGGCAGCAAAATTGGTTTTATCAAACATTGGATTACAGTTTTCGAACTGTTGCTTAATTTGAATTAGAACTGAATTTATTTTTCATTGAAATGATACTCGCTTCTTTCGTCAAATCGGTTAAGGGCCACACACATTAGATCCGTTAGCGTTGCGTTGACGTAAATTTGACAGTTAGACAATAGATATAGCTGTCACTTTGCCGCAACGCGTCCGATCCGGATCTAATGTGCGTGGGCCTTTATTGTAAATAGTATGTATTTGATATCATACACATAATTTTATTTCCAGTTATCTATTACGAGTCCCAATTTTCGATTTAACTCAAATCTTCTCAGTATCAGTTGTTTTATGAATGATAAGTATGTTTCTGGCACATGCAAATGTTACGTACTTATGAGATGAGAATGATGAGCAACTAAATGTAAGATTACCAAATTATCGCTTGTCATGGTAATCATAACATTGAAAAATAAGATGAAAGGATGAAAATACAAACATTATTTTTGGAAGAGTTATAATTCACTGTACCGCAAAGTTTAAAAAACAAAAGATTTATTAGACTGTGTGATACCAAGAAAGATTCAATGAATTTTGTAGGTAGCTTTTGAATACAATGTAACCAGCATATGGTTGATGTAATTAAATTGAATAAAGAAAACATTTGATGTTAAACATTAACATTATCAGCTCCATTATTTTATTTATTTTTCTTGAAATCAATCATTATGTATTTGACGTTAAGTTTTGATAACACTTTAGGAATAAATTCGAGCAATGAGACCAGTAGATCATGGATGATACTTGGCGGAAGATAGAGGAGCGTAGAGAAGCAAAAGTCACAATAGAGCGGACGAGAACCAGAGAAGCCAAGAACGATGCCCGTCAACGGTACTCGGTCTTTTATAAGGAAATCAAGCTGTCCTGCAGACGAAACAAGCGAGCGTTGGTGGACTTCCTGACCAAGAAGGGAAGAAAGCCGCAACAACTGACGATATCCGTCTCTTTTATATGATATCTCACAAGGTCTGAGTGAAGCAAGGATGAACCCAAGCATGCCAGTGAAAAATGCGACTGGTGCTTACCAACCCCACTGTCGTGTACATCGCGAATAGATAGGTTTGCACAACACTCACCAGATGAACCCTTGAAAATTGCACTGTACTAGCAACCGATGGAAACTAACGATTTTAAATTGGCTTATTACTTGACTAGCCTATTGGTCCCAATCAAATCGATTAACGTACCCCATTCTAGTCTAAATTCTAGTACTACACTATGTTTGTTTTATTATTATTATTATTTAGCTTTATTTAGGAGGCTTTCAGCCTTAGGCTGGTTCGCCTCCAATCTGTTTGTTTTAATTCGCTATGAAAATTTGACAGATAAAATGAGGAGCTCGTGGATTTTCCTTACTTTTCCTTTTCGAGGGGTCCATCGATTAGCTTGGGACCGAAGAGATACCAGAGCTGAGCCAAAAAGTTGAGCACGCTTCATCGGAACCTTCTGGTCTTAGAGTTACCTCTATGGTACTAGCATAGAGGTAACACTAAGACCAGAAGGTCCCGAAGAAAGGGGCTCAACTTTTTGGCTCAGCTCTGGTATCTCTTCGGTCCCAAACTAATCGATGCACCCCTCGAAACATAGGAAAATCCACGAACCCCTCATTTTATGTGTCAAACTTTCAAATTGGCCATAACAAATGAGAACATTAAAATTATAAAGCAGAAAAAAATTCAAATGAACATTCTCTAAGCGTAAAAGTATCACTCTTAGCTTCTGAACTACTTCATTATAGCATAGAGGTAACTCTAAGACTAGAAGGTCCCGAAATAACGTGCTCAACTTTTTGGCGCAGCTCTGGTACTCTCTTCGGTCCCAAGCTAATCGATTCACCTCTCGAAACATAGGAAAATCCACTAACCCCTAATTTTATCTGTCAAACTTTTATAGCTAATCAAAACAAACATGGTGTAGAACTAGAATTTCGACTATAATGGGGTACGTTAATCGTTTGCATGGGACCAATAGGCTAGTCAAGTAGTGAGCCAATTTAAAATCGTTAGTTTCGTATTGATTGCTGCTACAATGCCTGAATTGAGGCATCACTATCAATTAATTGAAACATTGTTAATAAATAATAGGTAAATAGTTTCTTTAATTAATCAAAAATCACCTTTTTTAAAACCTCACATGGGACAGGGATTCCACCCATACATTTATTAATAAAATTATACAAAAATATCAAAGAAATTGCCTCATTGTGAATACACACAGCAAAAAAAATGTAATATCGATCAACGTCGTAATTCAAGCTGATGTATGAAAAAATGATGTAATAGCAAAAAGCAGATACAATATTACATCAATGGATGTAATTTTGTTCGCAAAATCGATGTAAATCGTACAATGTGATATTACACAACCGATGGATTGACCTGGTTGCAGCATTTCGATGTAATATTCAACAACTTTTTTTGCTGTGCATGTCTTCGGTAAGCCTGTTTTCACCAAATTTGGCAAAACCTGCTACATAAAATATCATCAACAATAGTTTTCAATTGATTTTATTTGTATTGAATAATATTTGTAAAATTCAATAGCTAAATTGAGTAAACAATAATAGCTGATTAATCAAAAGGCTATGTTTATAAACAAGATTTAATCGATTTCACTCAATTCAAGACGCATGGCCAGTGATCCAAAATATCATGACTCTCACGTGACACTCGTCTACGCATCAACCGACTATCACTGACAGAACGTTTTGTCACGCAGTGAGAGGTAGAGCCATGGCAAACAACAATCACCAGTAATGGTCGCCGCTCACAAGCGAAACGTTACACTCGCTGCTGATGATGAAAAGCACAACGAAAACAGTGAAGACTTCTGCAGTACGATCATGAGAAAACGCGAAACGACAGAAGAAAATGAAAACAATGCCTACGCATTCCATGTTCGTCTCGGCACGCGCGACTCTGTGAGTTACAAACAAAGAAGGCAACATTAAACGGAAGCTGTTGCACTCACTCACCAACACACAAAGCAAGCAAAGCAGCAACTGCTTCAAAGCGAGCACAGATGAGTATCGTGATTGTCGGGAATGACCAGCAGATCGGTAATGGATCACAACCGAAGACGACATTCACCAGTTGCTTTTTACTTATTTCGTCAACTTAATGGATGGTCATGGAGAGAGCTTCGACGAGCACATCGATAGGAATGTACAAAGCGTTACTACACAGAAAAAAAAGTTGTAGAATATTACATCCAAACTGCTGCAACCAGGTCAATCCATCGGTTGTGTAATATAACGTTGTATGATGTACATCGATTTTGCAAACAAAATTACATCCATTGATGTAATATTGTATCTGCTTTTTGCTATTACATCATTATTTCATACATCAGCTTGAATTACATTGATCGATATTACATTTTATTTGCTGTGTACCATCAGCTGTTTGGCGATCGTGATTGTGATAGGTCGCAACTCTGCGCATGGCTCATTTGCCCCATAAAGGTTAACATGGCCCCATTGCAGTTTAAAAAAAAATTTAGATGGCCTTTTGAAAAAAATCGTAAACAACTTTTGACGAGATTTAAGTTGCATTACATGGTTGATTTATGAACGTAATATGAACATGTAATACGTTGAACTAACTCCACTATTTGGCACTATTTGGTTGATCGTACAGTCAACCGGTGGAAACTATCGATTTAAATTTTAGTCGAAATTCTAGTACTACACTATGTTTGTTTTAATTCGCTATTAAAGTTTGACAGGTAAAATAAGGGGTTCGTGGATTTTCCTAGGTTTCGTGGGGTGCATCGATTAGCTAGGAACTGAAGAGAGTACCAGAGCTGAGCCAAAAAGTTGAGTACGTTTCTTCGGGACCAACGACAAACAGAATTTAACAGTAAAATCACGGGCTCGACGTTTCTACCAACCGGTGGAAACTAACGATTTTAAATTGGCTCAACACTTGACTAGCCTATTAGTCCCAAGCAAATCGATTAACGTACCCCATTCTAGTCGAAATTCTAGTACTAAACTATGTTTGTTTTGATTCGCTATGAAAGTTTGGCAGATAAAATGAGGGGTTCGTGGATTTTCCTATGTTTCGAGGGGTGCATCGATTAGCTTGGGACCGAAGATAGTACCAGAGCTGAGCCAAAAAGTTGAGCTCGTTTCTTCGGGACCTTCTGGTCTTAGAGTTACCTCTATGTTTCTACTGCGAATATTTGACAAAGTTTTATATTGCTATGGACGATGCAACTTATGTCCTGGAGGATTTTCGCGAAAATCTGACAAATTGTCCAGAGTTACGTCCAATCGAGAGATATTGGGCTCTGATGAACCGGAAGCTTTCTGGAAAGAAGCAAGGAATCAAAGATATCTAACACTTCCAACAAATTTGAACAAAGACGGCCCACGGTACCTCAGCAATATCTTAAGCAAGGATGTTGAACATAAATTAAGTCGAATTATTTAAACTAAGATCTTACTAAGTAAGAGGGGCAGTTGCAAAATATTAACAAAGTCGTTTAGTGGGAGAGGAGGATATTGAATAATACTTACATAATGATTGAATAATCCTTAAAATGTTATTTTAGAGGCTGTTCATAAACTACGTAGACAGTTATTTTGGATTTGAGACAATGGTCCATCCATTTTTTTTTTGTATTTGTATGGACCGTAGACAATCGCCAATTCGTCAAATTTGAGTCGACCAATTGTTGACTATTCCACCCTTTAACTGAAACACACTGGTCATTGTAATGTGCAATTCACTTTATATTGCTGATTGCATCTGAAACTGGACTGTCCCAAAAATGCAAAAAGTGTGATAAAAGTACACGTTTCCGTCAAATCGTTTTGATGTCTTCGAAGCACTTATTTCTTGCATCATAAGGAATAAGTGCACCGAAGACACCAAGACGATTAGACGTAAACTTGCAGTTTTATCACACTTTTTGATAAGTGAAAACGCGCTTATTAGTCCAATTTGGTGTGAAACGCGCAATAAAAGCCTGAATGAAATGTGGCGCTTATCACTTGAGTATACGATATGACGGAACCCAGGACGGAACATTGATACTGTTTGTATAAAACACAAATAAATGCTTCCCAAAATTAGTTAAGATTGAAAAATGTTTTAATTGTAAGCCAAAAAATTGAATGCGGCATTGAAATGAAATACTTTCAACCGTGGTAAATTTAAATGGTCCCTAATTTCACATTCGCTGAACCATTCTGAACGGCCATCTCGTTGTGGCTATTTCACAGGATCGGTAATCTATATCTATATCTATATATATAAAAATGAATTTCTGTCTGTCTGTCTGTCTGTCTGTCTGTCTGTCTGTCTGTCTGTCTGTCTGTCTGTCTGTCTGTCTGTCTGTCTGACAGACCCTTATAGACTCGGAAACTATTTTTTGGAGGCGAACCAGCCTCAGGCTGAAAGCCTCCTAAATAAAGATAAATCAATCAATCAATCGGAAAGTACTGAACCGATCGGCGTGAAAATTAGTATGCGGTGGTTTTTGGGGCAGGGAAAGGTTCTTATGATGGTTCGAGACCCCTACCTCCTCTATAAGAAGGGGCTCGCATACAAATGAAACAGAAATTTCTGCAAATGTAACCATATTTGGCATGTGAAGGTCATAGGGGGTAGCCC